TATTATAAATTTTATAAATATAGTAATTAAGTATTCTGTTAGAATTTAATGATTATACTAATTATATTTTAGTTTTTTATATTTAAAATTAGATGTTTATCCTGTATTTGATTGTGTTTATCTGCAGTTAGTTACACGAATTCAGATATGGAAATGGTTTAAGAGTTTTTACAAGTTTTAAGAGTTTTAGCCAAATGTTTTATAAGATATATATATATATATATATATATATATATAGGGGAGCGATAAAATGAAAACCACTCCAATTTGTAAAAACCGTAAAAATTACTTTCATCCGTCGTTAATCTTATGAAATTATTTCATCAAATTGTTATATATATATATATATATATATATATATATTATAATGTCCTCTCGTCTATGAGTATCAAACACACAACTTAAATTGTTAAAAAAATACAACCATAAATACCCATTTTTATATTATTTTTTCATAAAATAGAAATAATATTAATTAAAAAGCAAACACTATACACCAAAAGTATAATTCACTCTCATTATTTTCCGAATATTCCTCACATGGATGACGTCACGTTTGTTGTATATCCATTCATTGACCCAAAAATCCTGGAATCATCAAAACCACTAAAACTTTTTTGTTTTTCTTATTGTTCAAAGTAAACTACAAATTTAGTTCACGTGAATATTATATATATATATATATATTTTTTAATTTCAAATTTATAACTAAAATAAATTATTTGTACTGATCGTCTGTAGTTTTCAGTTTCATAACACTCATGGTTTTAATTAATTTTACATAATTATTATTAATTGATGATGTTAACTCCAAAAAATATGAGTATTATGAAATTAAAAATTACGGACCATTAACGTAGATAGTTCGTTTAAGAAACCAAATCCAAAATTTGAGCAAACTATAAGGACTATCAGTGTAAAAGGTTGTTTGTTTACCCGTTAATAGTTCCATTAAGAGGCAATCTCTGAATCGTTAATAGGTGAATCTTGTTTGATTAAAAAAAAGTTTGTCTCTTAATGGTTCTAAAATCCTCTGAATGATTTTGTATTATGGATCTTCCTTAACCATTAAGAGCCTTAATTTCATTGTACACAATTACCAAACAATTATATTTCATTTTGCACTATATCATGAGAGCCTCTTAATCATTCTGACCACTTAATCATTCTACACCAAACCATTCAGTAATTGCCAAATAACCCCTAAGTCACCCTAAATATTTTTATTAATATAATTCTGAAATCGTTTTTAAAACTTAAAATATGGATTAAAATTGGCAAAATTAATGATGTAAAAAATAACGGTAATATTGGATGACATCGTGGTATGACCAGTTCATAAGTTGTACCAAAAAA